TCGACGATGATAATCTTGTAGGCGCGATGATACTTCCGTCAAATGAAGTAGTTTTTCGTCGTATGTTTTCATTGAGGAGTCAGAACAGAGGAACATAGAAGGTGGAAACAAAGTTATCTCCTTTACAGAAAATCGATGTTCATTTTGAAGACTTGAGCTTCTGAAGTTCATGTCATTGAGTCAGTGCTCTGATGTTGGTAAAAAGAGCAAGTTACAATGTCAGTGATTTGACAGCACCGACATCGCCCATCCCAAAGATCACAGTGTGTTTGGGCCCAGTATTCTGCCTATGATCTTGGTGAGTCACGATCTCGGTGTTGTCCGAAGCCGACATGCTACTGAAGTCTTTTAGCTCATTCTGTCCAGTAGCAAGTTTTCATTCTCGTTATAAATTGAGTTTAAGAGATCTTGATTAAAAACTAATTAGTGGCATCCAATATAAGGTATTGGTTGAATGGCGGTGGTTGAAAAATTTCAGCTTTCGAAATTATGAATCTAGAATGGACCTCTTGTATTTTAACCTTGAATTCAGCATGCCCTCTACAGTATTTCAGGCGATTTGTTTGTTAATGTTGTTTCGGTTTCATTAAGTCAATGTACACCTTATATTTTCCTATGAGGATATAAAATAGATACTAATTTTGAAAATGCCTGTTTAAGCATGATTTAGGTTCCCTGTCGTTGCTACGCAAAAGTACTTTCCTCGGCACTTGATATGCACAAAGTTTTGTGCGAAACTCATAGAAACCTGGCACGTAGTAAGTTACCATGAAGCCACTGCTAGTTAATTTCCGTTGCCAAATATCCTGTGATCTTATCTATTTATTGCTAGAACGTCACAGCCGTTATGCTGAAAGATTTGAAAGGAAACATCGCTCACTGAAAGACGTAGTGGTGCTGAAAATTGGAATTTCATTCTCGGAGAAGTAAGGTCTTTTGTTAATTTCTTTGAGATAAGACCTTGTTCTTTCATCCTATTCGTATTTTATACTATGGCGTTTTAATCTGTTACATTTTCACTTTTTCATTGTATCAGTTTTCTCACTCTACGTCTACTATTTATTTCTGCCTGTCCTGTCTTGCTAGAAGATGGCATTATGCATTGTGTAATTTAATTAAATTTATTTTGTGCCCGATTTGATTCAGTTCAGTCAAAAACGTCTGCTAGGTTGCTGACCTGTGCGATAAGCTGGGGGTTATACCTTACTGTATGCCGTTTATAGCCCATCTTTAAAATGCTGCGTTTTGGCTAGCTATGCAACAGTAGGACGATGATACGTTTGCGACGAAATTGAAATTTAAATAAAATAATTGCTTTTGACCACTGATTTATGAATGACTGACTTACTGTTTAGCATTTAATTTCGCTATAGTTTTCTAGTTATTCTATTTAAGTTTTTCAAATAGCAGTAACGTAATGAAGCGTCAGTAAACAATCCTGCGCGAAAGCCAAGTAAAATAATTTAAACAGATTTTTTTCGCGACTAAAAGAAGAGGCATTTTATTAGGTGGCTTAGCACAAATATTACAACTCCTGTTCTGCTTTATTCAGAAGGTAGAAGATTTGTCGAATTTGAAAAATGGCGATACATCTGCTCTTTATTCTGGTGGTGCCGACTCCGAGTGATGCTAGTATTTGTGTGGAAAACGGAGGAGCTAATCAAAACTTGAAATACAACAGGATGGGAAGAAATTTGGAATTTGGAAAGGAGAAAGAATCTAACGCTGATCATCGACTGAGGTAAAAAGCATTTGAACTGAATGTTCAGAGTCCAAAGGATAATGAAAAGTAATGCGGGGATTATAGAGTGCAGATTTATGTGATTTCCTAAATCTAATGAGATGTACTTGCATGTCTCTGAGCTGTTCTACATCTTTATTACGGGCTGTCTTTATGAAGTTACGGCAGTGCGATGTTTTCCAGCACATATCAGAAGATACGGGCGACACAACTTATCAGTGTAGTTTGATCTTTTTAACTACTTTAATTCATTGGTTTAAGCGGTTTCGTTTGGAGATCGCAGAGATCTGCTCTCAGAGTACCATTGAATTACCATCTCTTGAATGTCTGTCAAAAAATTAATAGTGCAAACATCTTTGTTGTACATTTTCGTAAATCTCTTATGCAGGCTGTATAATTTTATTTTAAACTGTAAATGTAAGAGACTACTGGGAATTTGTCAATCTCGCTGGTTAAACAATCAAGAACTGCTTGAAAACGACAGCGGTTTAATGATATGTTAAAAAATCAGAACGTCTGCAGTAATAGCATATGTAGCTGAATGATCTGTGGGGCTTCTTTCTCCCATGGGAGAGATGGCTCGTGTCTGCATAGGTTTGGAACTTTTTGTTGCAGATGTTTCATTCCTGCATTGAATGCTGCTTTTCTTACGGCAATGTAACTTTTTACATCAGATAAGGCTTACTGCCTGCTTATTAACCCAGTTCATCCGTTAAGGTTCATGAAGTTGCCCCTGATTTTACTGCAAGAATTTAATTTTGGCAAATAAATATTTTGCTAGGAAACGTTTGGGAGTATTTGAGATGGTGCTTTATTTCAAATGGTGGAAGGACCTTAGAGTTGAAGCATGGAATGCACCTTTGCACTGTGGTTGCACTTTCAAGTACCACTGAAATTTTGTATTTTTGGGTAAGATATAAAACGTAGTCAGTAAGCTATTTGGTTGCAAAATATATTGCAGAAGACAAGTTGTATAAAAGCAGTGGTTTTGATCCATCGGCAGTATTTTTATTGACTATACAAATCAACCTTATTTTCGTTGTTGCTGTTGAATTGAATCTTAAGTTAATGCCCTAATGTGTTTAACGCGGAAGTAGTTTCCAGCAGCCGTTCATTACTAATCACATGTTAGCAATTCGATGCATGTTATTAGTACTGTAATCATTTGTACTTCACTGACTCCAGACACAGCGGAACAACAGGTTGTAGTGTTTTCTAGAACTGCCGATGTTTCAGCTTTACTACATCAGTTATCTTCAGGACAAACAGAGGATGGCCAGTGTAGTTTGATTGATACGTCGTTAGTTCTAGAAAAGACTGTCATCCATATACTCCGTTGTGTCTAGAAGCACTGAAGTACTAGTTGAAGAAGGCACAGAAGTAAAATCTTTCACAATTAATTAGGGATATTTGCTATTGCGTCATTACTGATGAGCACGGTGTTATTCTTGTGAATGGAATGACGCTTGTTGCAGATGTTTAAATATTCTTGAGCCTTGTTACAGTGGTTCATAGAGTACTAGAAAGCAAGGGGCGATGTCATACTGCTGTATAAACTCAGTCTGGTATTATTATGCTTTTCACAGCTTTGTTTGTAAATGACAGTGAGCGCAAACTATAATGTAGGACGAGCACCTGCCAGAAGCAAGTGGAGTCAATGATCCTTCATACCCTACCTACGCCTTTTTGCCCAGTAGCATTTCTTATGGAAATGTAGCATATTTGCAGCCAGCTGCTTGCGTTTATATTGGTTTACCTTCATCATCAGCGTTATTTATTCCCTTGAAGGTATACTGAT